GCAATAAAGGTGATCAAGCAATAAACAAATAATCAAGCAACATAATAATAATCAATATCATGAATAATAATAATCATCATAATAACAATAATATTAATCATAATAATAATAATAATATCATCATAAATCATAACAATTATAATCATGAAATCATAATCAAAAATCATGTTAAAGCATAATAAACACATCAAGATCCTAGGCATGATGCTAATAAGATTAATAACAAACCCTATCATGTCACTAAGCAAAAAAAATCAAATCTTTAACCCTAACATGATACTAACATGAATAAATATTAGGAAGAGAGTAGGAAACATCACAAGAATCATAATAAGCATATTTAATATTAAAATTAGCCTAGACATGATACTAGGAATATCATAATAACAATATAAACATGATGTCTACATCATAATATCAATTAAAACCATTAAAGTACTTACTTTGATGCCTCGTACCTCTTTCTAATAACAAAATACACACTTTAGTGACTTCAAGGAAAATAATAATCAAAACAATTAAATCAAATAATTGAAATAAAGATTTGGGACCAAACCCTCAGTAATTAAACCTTTCACGTCTAGGGAGAAGACAACTTCGAATAAGGCTAGGTGTTTCTAGATCTTGTGAATGCGGAATTTTGTATATGAAAACAAAGTTTAAAGAAAAACGATGAATGAATGCTAATTAAAACTGATTGTAGATCATGAGAATTGGTGAATGATTAAGAGAGAATTAGAGAATTAATGATTGCGAATGAAAATTGATTGTTGATGAATGTAGATTATTGAAAACAGAGTTTTTAATAAGATATTTATAAAGAAAATCAGCCAAAAAGATAAATTAAACAAAACAGAGTCTGACGCATAAAAAACAGAGCTGGCGCCAACCCTGGCTAGTTGGCGCCCGGCACCAACACTAGCGCCAGGCGTTAATGGCTACCGCCAGGCGCCAGGCCTGGTTCCAGGCGCCAGGCCTGGTTCCAGGCGCCAAGCCTATTTTCAACGCGTTTTCAAAAATCAGATAAGTTTTCCGTACTGGAGGATAAAATCATATAATTTCCTCGAAAATGCTATTTGATTTTGATTAAAACTCTGAAAAGTCAAAAGTCAATTTATCAATGCTAATTGAATTAGGAATGAAAACGACCTTCTAGAAGATTCTAGAAGACTAAAACCATTCCTAATTGCATTAGGAATGATAAATCATATTAGGCCCTCCCCAAGATCATTGGGCCGTATATAAAGCTCAAACCGGCCAGTTTAGTAAATTGGTCATAACTTCCTCAATATTCATCGGAATTGGGCTTATAATATATCATTGGAAAGGTCTTTGCAAGCCCCATCCAACTACACTACTATTGGACCCATATAATGGACCAACCAAATTGGATTGGCTGTTTTATTAAAATAAGTTTTCAAAAACAGAGAGAAGAGAAAAGAAATTAAAACTATCCGCAACACTAGACTTTCCACACTTTCGCTTCATTCGATTATGATTCGACGTGAAAGGTACTCATCACTGGGTTTGGTTTTGGAGAGAAACAAATGGGTGTCTACAATTACCATTTAAGAAGAAAAGCATTCAACTATACAAGTCTAAAAGTATTACGTCAAAAGTAATAACAAAACAAAACATATTGCAAATTTGCCTTGATAGAAATAAAAATCTTTTTGGAGTTTTTCAAAATAAAGAACATGGAAAAGCATATACAAATGTGCATAGCATACATGAATCAAAATCCCATCTAACATGATAGAAAACCTTCCCCCAAGCTTGAATAAGACAACATGCTAAAACATAAATCAAATATCTATGGGAAGGGAAAACAAAGAGATTAATCCAACAATACCACCACATGTCTAACAAGGCATCAACAATTAGAGAAAGATCAAGAAGAGATATTACCGGATTTTAGGTGGGTGTAAATACCCGCAAATGACCCCATTTAACCTTTCAAAGCCAAGTTCATCTAGAATTGATTCTTGTTATCCATATGCTACCAATTATGGGGTTTACTTCCTCAATTCTTGATCCAAAGCAATGCACCAAAGTATATTAATTCATGTACCTAGTAAAAGGAACACAAACATTTCCATGAGAGAAAATCTATTCTAAAAAAGAAAGAAAATGAAAGCAATAAACCACGGTTTACTTCCCAAGAAAAGGCTTTCTTAAGGTCCAAGCTTGACCGCTCTAGAAAATAGTATTGCAACGAATGCAAGAGCTTGTCAAATGCACTATTACACATTTTATAAGATAACAAGTAGGCACATAACAAAAATAGAACGTGCAACAAGATCATTGCACGCAAATGAGAAGAAAGATGCCAAAAGAAAGAAGAAGAGGGATCAAAAGAAAATTCAAGAAAATAAGAAGTACAAGGGGAAAAAGAAGAATGGAAAGAAAAAGGCAATTCCTCCTCACTAAATTTTTGGTTGACATATTTCCTCTCTTCCTCAACAATGATGAAATGAGGGACATGAAAATCTTCCATAGAAAAGGGCTCTCCAATAGGATCTTTGAGATAGAAAGGAAGAAAAATAGGGCTAAAAGGGATATGGTTAAACCTTTGAGAAAAAAGGGTATGAGAAATGGGAAAAGGGGTAGCTACTCCCTCAACACAAGGTCTCGCATCGCCAGTGAGAGCATGAAAATCAATCATAGAGTCCTCAAATGGAGAACTCTCACAATCTATACCTCCCTCAAGCTCAAAAACTCCAAGGGGATCATCCTCAAGCTCCTTTCCACCACAATAAACAACCTTTCCTTCAACTATCTCAAAACCCAAGGCCTCAAAACCGTGCATGAATGGAGGTAGATTCATCTCAAACTCATCTAAGTCCCAACAAGCGTTCTCGATGAAATCATCCAAAAATCTATAAGTCCTCATATGACTCTCAAAAAACAAATGGGACATTTTCTCAAAAGAGTCTATATACTCATATATTGAAGGGTCACAAACATACACTTGAGACTCATCAAGATGGGAAGGAGGGTTAGGATAATCAATTTCAACACTCTCTTGGTTTTCAACTCCTTCACCATTACTAAAATGCTCACCAAAGGGATCCTCACCCTCTCTTGGTTGCTCAAAATCATCTTCATCATCCTCAACACACACATTGGCTAAGGATTTTTCATATACAAGCATCAAGGATGACAATTGGCTTTCTAACTCATCTTTTCTCCTCTTTTCCTCCTCAATGCGCTCCTCATTCTTTCATTATCTCTAATTGACTTCTCATATAATTAAGAATCGACTCCTTAATAGGCCCAAGCTCAGTACTAAGCTCAATATGCCTAATTTTATTTTCAAAAGTATCAATAAGATATTCAAAAGGCGAAGAAGGTTGAGGCTTAACAAGAGAATAATAAGTACAACCAAGATCGGAAGAATCAACATTAAGATCATGAGCATATACATCACTTTGGGAAGTGGGGGCATAATAAAGCATATGAGATTCATCATTAAGGGAATGAACTACATCACAAGAAGACATGGCAAATAATGAAGAAAATTGAAACACACAATGAGCATCAACTTGAGCATGCACCTCGTTATCATGAACAAAAGGGGAAATAAAATTGAAAGCATGTGTTTTATGTTCATTTAAGGGATCATGTAACAAATCATGGGAAATCATTCTAAAATTAGAAAAATCAAGACATTGAACATCAATATTAGTATCATGATTACCCCTATTATAAACATCTCTAGCAAACCAAACATAAAAATCCCAAGCATCATCAATTGACAATGCTCTAAATTCACCATTAAACATGCTTTCAATTATGCCTCTAGTATGCTCATTCGAACCAAACTAACAAATCTCATAAGCCTCCCAAAGATTACAATAATTATATTCCAAAAACTCCTCAAGTCTATTGAAATATTCACAAAAAAGCTCATTGTCATATTGAAAAAATGATAGACATACCATTTTTTTTTTACAAAACAAACAAGAATAAAATAAAAGAAAGGTATATACAAAGACCTAGACTCAAGCAATCAAAAACACTCAAACATAGACACCGTTCCCCGGCAACGGCACCATTTTGACGAGGGGTGGAACTAGGTCGTTGAAACTAATCATCCCTCGATCAAACTAAATTTATAAACACTTAACCAACATAAATACAATTATAGAGGCAAGTCAAGGGCAAACCCAAAGGAACGGTAATGTTCAAGCGCTCTCAATTATGTGCCAAATCTAGGTCGAAGACAAAGATTAAGAGAGAACACTAATAATTAAGAAACAAAGAAACTAAACAAATAAAGCACTAGGGAATGAGGATCAACAAGCAATCATCACAATTGTAGCAATTCGAGAACAACAGGCAAATCAATGGTTGCGAAGACTAATGGTAAGAGCAATCAAAAAAGCTTGACAAGCTATCTCCTAAAGGTCTAACTAGCGCCAACTACGAGAGACACTAACTAGGAACATCACTAATCAAACTCAATCGATAATTGTAAGCCACAAATCAATGGTCCGTATCAATGTTGACTCACAATGCAATCTAGCATAATTCTCAAGGCCTAATCGAATTACACACATGCACAATTTCCATTAATCACTTTAATCTCAACAATCAATCAACACAATCCCCAAATTAAGCACAATCAATCAATCATACAAGTTTTACCCAATCCCTAGACAAATAACTACTCTAACATCATCATCTAATCAATTAACAACTAAGGAAATCAAGAATCAACAAAATATGGAGAACAATTACACTAATCAACAGTCGAACATCAAAATCAAACCAAACAAATATGAAATCAAACAAAGAAATAAAGAGGAAAAATGCTCATTGATAATAGAGAAGATCTTCAACACAATTGTCACCATTGAATCTTCAATCTCTCAATCACAATTGAAATTCCTCATTTTCTCTCTCTAAAATCAACTCCTAAAATAACCCTAAAACTAGATAGAGAAGCTCTCAACTAAGATAAAATTATAATCTAAATTCAATCTCAATCTCCTTACAAAATCGGGGTTCCAATAGGTATATATAGGAGTCGCAAAACAAAAACCGATTAAAGCAAGTACCCAGGGAGGCGTGCCTGCGCGGGCTAGGAGGCACGCTCGCGCAGCTGGGCTACGCGTAGAGCTGGAAAAAAATGACCCAACCCGAACCCGACTCGAAAAAAGCGAGTTAAGGTTGAGTTTTTCGACTCGAAAACTTAAATGGGTCGACACGAACGCGAAATTAAATGGGTTAGGTTAAGGTTGAAAATCTCAACCCAAAAACGAACCACTTAACCCAAAAACATAATTGCGTCGAAATCAGGTCGGGTTAACCCGAACCCGACCTGAATAACCTAAAAAAAAAATCAGGAAAAAAAAACTTTATAGAACCCTTACAGTAACCAGCCCAAATTCATGCCCATATAAATGTAAAACCCTAGGGCTTCTTTTATCAGTTGTAGCCGCTCAACACCCCTCCTCTCTCTCTCTTAATTTTATGATTTTCTCCCTCTAAAATCTCAAGCTCTCAACACTTCTTTAAGGGCTTCAATCATCTATCTGGTAATTTCAACTACAATAATCTATGTGTGACGCTACTATGTATTAGATTTATATTTTGTTACCCTATTAATTCGTATTATCGTTTCTTTTGCATGTTTATTTAGTATTTCCTACTTGATTTAAATATGATTGTGTTTATAAATTATTACTTCAGTTATTCTTTTAATGGTTGTATGGTTGAATCGGGCCTTTAGGATATTAGCTTGATCTTTATTTTTATTTTTTTTTATTTTTTTAGCAGCCAAGATCCTCAATTGCAAAGCTTGTTATTATTATGAACAGGATGGTACGCCACCACTTGCATCGCTTGCCCAAAATTGAACCCGTCAATGAAATCAAAGTTTTTGTTTAAAAACCTGTAAAAACATTTGTATCATTTGAACTTTTTGTAATTTGCTAAGTACATCAGACATTAAATAAACTTGGGTTTGTAATTTATTAAGAGTTAAATAATGTTTATCAGCTTTTGGTTTGGATTTAATTTTGGTTTAAAATAAATCAGACTGTTTAAACAAATCAGGTTGCTTAGGTCGGGTCAACCCGAATATAGCAACCTCATTCAAAACCCAAATAAAAAATCAAGTCAAATAAGGTCAATTTCGAGTTGACCCAAACCTGAAAATATGAAGTTCGGGTTGGAGTTTCAATCCAAAAAGTTAAATGGATCAGGTTCAGGTTGGGGGGTGGCTAACCTGAAATCAGCTGACCCGAACATGAACCCGACCCGACCTGGTCCGTTTACCAGCCCTAGCTGCGCGCCCGCGCTTCTTTGGGTTTCTTCGACTCTTCTCACGGCTTCGTGCGTTCGCTAAGGTCTATGAATGAGCGCACCGAATGATGATGATGGACACCAAGAGTGGCAGTCCCAAAAAGCACTTGACGGTGGGTTCAACACCCAATCATCATGAGAGCACGGCTTGAGAGTGCAAGAGCTAGAACTTGGAGAACCCACTTCCTTGCATCTTGAGCTTTCATATTGCCTTGAGCTTGCTCCAAAAGAATCTTCCACCTTAGTAATCCATCCATATCAATACCTGAACCTCGTACAATACCTACAACCAAGAAAAGAGAACAAATAAAGGAGAAAAAAACTAGAAAAAACCATCAGAATGCACAAAACCACAAATATATGAGAGCAAAGGTAAAATAAAGAGCAAAAGCATAAAACTATACATTTATTAAGAAAGAAAGCTATGAAAAGAAGGTAAAAACAACCTAAATTCTCATAAAATGAGTGCCATTTATGACACCCATCATAATGTTATATATATATATGATATCATCAATATTAGAAAATATGTGTATTGATCTTATTAGAAGAATAATATATTTAGGTTTAAATAAACCTAAATATATATTCTTGTAATAATATCTATACGAAAAATATATCACACATATTATCTGATATTGATGCTATCATATCTCTAACAATTAGTAAGACAGCTTTAGAAAATTTACTTTTAATAATCTAAAGTTTAAGTTATTTTTTAACAATACGAACAATGGGAGCTATTTTCTTTTATTGGACTTAAATGGGTAATTTTTTTCAATTTCAACCCCCTTTGATCGCCCTAACTTTCACGTAACCCCTTTACCTTTCCGACATCAATTACCTTATCTTCCCTTTTTTGGTAGCCCCTCCCTTCCCTTCTCTTTTCAAGCAAGCCCTTCACATTCCCATTATCTCTTCCCTGCACCCAAACATATCTTTTCCGTAGCCCCGACCCATCCCTTCCCAGACCTTCCCCATTAACCCTAACTATCTCTTCTCTCGTCCACTAGCTTCTCTCTCTCTCCCTCTCTCTTTCGCGCCCACACGAGGTATCAAAGTCAGGGATCGTTTTGGTTTCTTGTTGTGCCTTCAAGACACATGCTCCTTGAAGGAGGGAAGCAGGCATCATGGCGTTGCCACATTAGAAGTTGAGGAGAATGAAACTTTTCTTATATGAGGATTAATGCCTTAACCTATATTAAGAATTATGTCATGCACCAAAGCAAATCCTTACATGCTAGAATCTAGAAAAGATATATAATATCTAATATTAATCCCGGGTGTTACATTGGAGGAGGAAGTTAGGGGAGTGGTTGTCGGTTGTATAAGTGATAGAAGGGAGTTTTACGTTGGTTGGGAAAGGTAGGGTTAGTTTTGGTAGTAAGGGAGCAAGGAGGGAGGGTTTCAATAGTGAGGTAAGGGAGATTCTTGGGCAAGTTTCGATAGTGAGGGGGGCAAGGGGTAAGGGTTTAAGCGGTGGGCAAAGGGAGAGGTGTTTCAATGGTGGGGGAAGCAATGGAATCGGTTTAAGTGGGGGAGAAGGGAAGGGAGTGATTGTAGGGTGTTTGTGCGGAGAGAGGAGAGGGTTTTGATGGTGTTTATGAGGGGGGGAAGAGGGGTGTGTTTTCGGTGATATATGAGGGGGGTAAGGGTTTTGGTGGTGGTTGCGAGGATTGGGGTGGCTAGAGGGAGTGTTTGTAGTTAGCCAGTGATGGCTATAAGGAAGAGAATAAAGGGAAGAGTTTACGTTTAAGATTTTTTTTTTTTTACCCAATTTGTTGTTGACATTTGTCCAATTAACTTTTTAAACATGTTGGTGACTAAGTTGCTTCAACAAAAAGATGCCCTTAAAATTCGGATTATTTAAAAATAACTCAAATATAAAATTGTATAAATCGGATGACTTAAAGTTTGGATTATTTTAAAAAATATTTCCAATAAAATAATAATAGGATCATTTTCCCGGGGGGAGGAATGGTGATAAGTTGCATTTACGCCACGATTTAAGTCCATTCCCTTGGTCTTCCTACTATTATCACTTGTTTTTCGGCAAATACAAGTTAATCTGCCATATTGACGAAATTTGTTAATCTGGTGGCATATTATGTATACTCCCTCGGTTTTTAAATACTTGCTCCACTTTCCTTTTCCGGTCATTTTTAAATACTTGCTCCATTTCCTTAATTGGAAAACTTTTACAATATTTAATTATTTTCTCTCACCAAGTGGACCCAACAATATTAATTCCATATTCTCTTCCTTCAATTATCTTCACTACTTTTGGTTTTTTACAATTTTTTATTCTTCCACCAAACCCACTACCTCCATATTTTATTATCTTCTTCAATTTTTCCTAAAACTCCGCGCATAAAGAAATGGAGAAAGTACTTAAAAACGGAGGGAGTATTATGTAAATAAGTGCAAAAGATTGTCCAATACTTTTGTACTATTTACAGTTGTCCAATTACTTTATGTAACTTGCCTTTGACATTATTAGTTGGCCATCCAAAAGACTATATAGAAAATTACACATGTGTCCCTCACTTGGTAGATGAAAAGACGATTAAACCCTGGCCCCAGATAAATAAATTTCGTTGATCTGGCCACGACTCCTTGTTTTTCGGCAAATTTTGTACTTACTCTCAAGTTTAATACTCATGAAGTTAGATTGGGTGTTTTACTCTTTTATATATATATATTAGTTTTGTGCCCGTGCAATGCTTGGGTTGTTTATTGAATTTAAAAATTATTTTTTTTAATTTATGTGCTTTTGTGACAATTTAAACTATGTAGTAGAAATGTAATGACTAATAATGATATTGGTGAAAATGTTCGATTTAATACATAAAAAAAATATGTAAGCATGAAATATTAGAAAATTCTAATAATATCAAAAAATAAATTAAATTAAAAAATTGTTCTACGCCAGTCGATCCCGAACACAAAATTAAACTTTGGGCTAGGGTTGAACATTTTTTTGACTTGTAACCTAGAGTGACCCGATCTGAAATGACTCATGACCCGACCCAATTAACATGTCGATCTATATTAGGGTGTGTTTTATTCACTTGATTTTTACTTATCTAAACTTAATATACCTTATTAAAACTTTTTTTTTATTTGTACTTGGCTAAATCTTATCATAATTTATTTTAATTTTCCTGAACAAAATTTATATAACTTAACTACTTCCCTTCACTCCAAAAAAAGATATTATGATATAAAAAATAAATTTAGATGATACTTATTGACAGTTATAATCTAATATTTTTTTGAATAAAATAATAATTTTATTTGTATATATAAATATTGGTACTTTATCAAAAGTAAGATTCTAAAGTAACAATTTTATCCCAAAATTTTATCTAAATTTGATTGAATATAAAACTTTAAACTAACTTTTTATCTTACAAAGTCTATTTAAATCTATCCAACGTGGCGCGACACTCTGAGAAAAATTAGAATGCCAAGTGTCGTGTCTCGTGACTTGGCTAAAAGTTTGTCTTTATATATATATATATATATATATATATATATAGGGGGAGGCTCTCGTGAGAATTTTTCGTATGTGAGAATTTTTCTTATGTGAGAACACTTTTTATGTTCTAAATTTTTACTCGTATATTCTATATTTTAAATCTGATGTCTTAAACTTTTCCCAGGTGTTCTAAATTAAATCAGATGTTCTAAATTAATACTCACATGTTCTAAACCATAAATTAGTTAAGTTAAATATTATAAATTTCGAATGACTTATTCCGAAATTTTAACTTATATGTTCTAAATTTTAAAACGTGCGTGTGTTCTAAGATTTTTAGTTATATGTTCTAAATTTGAAAGCTTATGTTCCAATTTTGACTCATATGTTCTATATTTTTACTTATATGCTCAATATTTTTACTCTCATTTTCTATATTTTATACCAAGTGTTCTAAATTTTTTATTCACACGTTCTAAATTTTAAATCAGATATTCTAAATTTAATCATATGTTCTAAATTTCATAAAGCAAATTTTTAAAAATTTTACTCTCATGCTCTAATTCTTGAATCAGATATTCTAAATTATTGCTCACACACATGTTCAAAACTATTAGTCATATGTTCTAAATTATTAGTCATATATTTTAAATTTAAATTTGAGTCGCATGTTTTAAATTTTTACTCGTGTGTTCTAAATTTTTACTCACATGTTTAAAATTATAGATTAGTTCTCATATAAGGCCTTGTTCTATTCACCTTAAAAAAAATATTAAGTAAAAATAAATTCAGTTCAGTAAAATTAATTTAAGTTCGGTAAAAATAATTTAAGTTCAGCAAAAATAATTTCAGTTCAGTAAAAATAAGTTCAGTTTAGTAAAATTCAGTTTTCTTAAAGAAGAATTATAATAGAAAGTAAGTAAAAATAATTTCAATTCAGCAAAAATAATTTCAGTTCAGTAAAATTAATTTCAGTTCAGTAAAAATAATTTAAGTTAGCAAAAATAATTTCAGTTCAGTAAAAATAATTTCAGTTCAACTATGAAAAGGTTGTTTAATTGTAGTGTTAAAAATTGGAAGTTTCTACATTACAACTAAAACCTATCAATTTATCATAGAAAATTAAAACAATTTTAAATAGCACACTAATAAACGACCTCCTACATTGAACTATGAATTAGACAACGTTAAACAGATACTGTATTATAGTTTTTATGAAAATAAAAAATTTTAAAATTACAAAATATACCTAATTCTTATTTATATTCATGTATAATAGCGATTTATTTTTATAATGTACAAATTAAAAATATGCTTTATATAAACTGTGCATCACACGGTTTGTAACCTAGTTATATCATAAAAAATAATTTAAATTAAACAAAAAAAAAAAGGTTCAATTAAGTAAAAATAAGGTAAAGACTAAAGAAGACATGATCTTAGTTTAATACGGGGTAAAGCTTTAGTTTACTCTTATCCCTTTTTCTCTTAAAACAACTTGATTTTATGATAGCAAAGAATAGAGTAGGGTCATTTTTTTGGTAGAAAGGAGCAACTAAATTAGATTAACGGCAAATAAAGTTTAGTTCAAATCATTCCTAGGTGAGTGTGCTCCATAGGTAACATCACTCATTACAGTCATGCCATAAAGGCCCAAAAGTTACATTAAACTTAGTTTCACTGTTTGACAAAAGGTTAGACTAAGCTACTAGGCTGTTAAAAGCATTTAGCCAATTTACATCTGGGTGCCTTACAATTCTTGACTTAGTTAGAGCCCCTCTTGCTGCTTTCGCCTGAATGTCTGCTAGTTGAATTTTTTGTCTAGGACATGGATCAATCTGCAATTCTCCACCTGATGAAGCAGCTCCCTACAAATCATATACATATAAGTAGCTTCATCAGAAGGGGTATCCTTTGAGTTTATCCCTAGGACATCTCTTTGACAATCTGATAAAATGGTGATATCATTCCATCCCCTAGCATGTATGAGGTATAGACTAGCTAGGATGGCACTTGTTTCAACCTGAAGGGAGTTAGTGGCAGGATAGTGACAGGCAATCCCCTCAATCCAGGAGCTATTACTGCCCATACAAATGCAAGCAAGGCCAGTAGAAAGAGAGGATGCACTAAAGGAAGAATCCACTATGATTCTCTTTGAGGAACAGGGTGTGGGATTAAGACTGGGACTTAGAAGCCTAGAATTTGAGTCAGGGTTATAAAGGCATGTTGATGAGCAAGGCAAGATATATGGCTGAGACAAGCAGTAGGGGTAGTGTTTTTCTTGTTGAAAACCCATGAGTTCCTTCTATGCCACAATTTCCAAATGGTTATGGAGAACATAGCAGACCATGGCATGTAAAAAGGGGTGGTATCAGAAGAGTTTGATAATTTTTCAGTCAACCAGTCAAGGAGGATGTTTGAAGAGAAGAAGGAGGGAGGTGTTGGGATAAGAGTCCAGACTTCCTCAGCCCTAGAGCAGTCTATGAGGATATGGAGCAGGGATTCAACCTCAGATGAGCAGAAGCAACATGACGGCTAAATTAACACGTGCCTAGAGTGAAGGAGGGTAGCAGTAGGGATTTTATCCCAAGCAACCTGCCATAAGAAAATCTATTGGCAGGAGGGCACTTAGAATCCCATATGAGATTCCAAACTGAAGGATCAAATTTGGTGCAGTGGGAATCCAACCACAGGTCAGAGTAAACTTGCTGAGAGTCAAAAAAATTCCCTTTTCTAAGAGAGCAGAATGGCATGTCCTCTTTGTCAAGAATGGTAGGAGTAGCAGCAATGATGGAGCTAATGTCAGGGGGGAGAAGACAGGGGAAATTTTGGAGATTCCAACCATTTTCATCAATGATAGCACTGACTTTAAGTGAGACCTCATGCAGGGGAATAGGTCCTGCAATAAGATTCCTAAGAGGACCTTTGCCATTCCAGTTGTCAAACCAGAGGAGACATGAGTTGCCATTCCCAATTACCCATTGAATGTACTTAGAGTAAATATACCACCCTTTCCCATAGATTCCAAGATATGGGAACCATACTTAAAGTCAACAGGGATCTCTCTTTTGCAATATTTCTCTTTTATGATTTTTGGTTCCAGATTATTACTATTATGCATCTTCCAGCACAGTTTGGCCAGGAGAATGTCATTTTGAAGCTTTGCTTCTCTGAAACCTAGGCCACCATGGATTTTTGGGCAGCAGAGGAAGCTCCAAGCAATGAGAGAGGATTTTTTCCTATCCTGATCAGCACCCCAGAAGAATATGTTACAGGTGCTGTCAATTTCTTGGTGCACCTTTCTAGGGAGGTTGAGGGCATTCGTGGAGTATTGAGGGATGGCTTGAAGGGTGGACTTTATGAGGATTGTCCTGCCAGCCTTAGAGAGACACTTGGCCTTCCAAGATGCAAGTTTTGATTTCATTTTCCTGACAATATGCCCAACTTGAGAAGGGGAAGGCCTTTTATCAGTCAAGGGAAAGCCAAGGTAGGTACCTAGTCATTAGTAACAGGGATGTGAAGAGAAGATGAGAAAAAGTCAATAATCTAAGGCTGGGCATTGTTAGAGAAATACAGTTGGCTCTTAGATGGGTTCATTTTCTGGCCAGATAGGGAGAAGAAGACATCGAGGGTGTGAGAAAGGAGTTAAGGGTCTGACAGGAAGCTTCCCCAAAGAGCTGAGGATTAAATCATCTGCAAACATAAGGTGGGAAATGGCAAGGGAGTTTTTCCTAAATTAGAAGGGAACCCAATCACCAGAATCACAAGCTTCAGCAATTAGAGAGGATAAGTACTCCATGCAAATTATGAAAATGTAGGGGGAGAGGGAGTCCCCCTGCCTAATACCTCAGGTAGCTTTAAAAGATGGAGTAGATTTGTCATTAACCATGACATGGAAGGAGGAGGAGGAGGAAATGGCACTCATGATTAGGTCTACAGAAGGTTTATCAAACCCACTCCTAGCAAGACAGGACCTTATGAAAGGCCATTCCAGCCTATCATAGGCTTTTTCAAGGTCTAACTTGAGGGCAAACCAGGCTTTTTTCCCAACTTTCTTCTTCATAGAGTGTAGGATTTCACTATTAGCTATGAAGTTGTTTTCACATCCTCTCCCAGGGATGAAACTGCTTTGATTTGGGGAAATCAAGGAGTTGAGATGGGGTCTTATTCTATTAACCAGAATTTTTGAGATGATTTTGTAAGCAGTGCTACAAAGGCTAATGGGCCTATACTGCTTGATTGTTTCAGGATGATCAACTTTAGGTTTGAGGGTCATGGAGGTAGTACTGATATCAGAAGGAACACAGAGATTTGAGAAGCAGGATACAACAAAATCTTGGATGTCTTTCTAGATTAAACCCTAATGATTCTGGAAGAAGAGAGGGTGGAAACCATCTATCTCAAGGGCTTTAAGCCTGCCCATATTGAACACAGTAGAATGGGTCTCAAACAGGAGAGGGAGATGAGATATCTGGACCTCATTCCCATAGGTACAGGATGGGTAATCAGAAGAGCTGGTTTCAGTGGAGAATAGATTAAAGAAGTAAGAGTTTATGTGGTCATGAAGTTGATGTGGTAGGATTTGCTCACCAACCTCATTCCTCATATTATCAATTCTGTTTCTTCTCATCCTGATGATGACAGAAGTGTGGAAGAAACTTGTGTTTCTGTCACCAGAAGTAGCCCAGTTTGTTCTAGCTCTTACAGCCCAAAAGGACTCTTCTTGGGCATATAGCTCATAGATCTCTATAGAGAGATTTTCATCAAGTTTCTGAAGGAAACCATTTGAAGGATCTGATTCCAAAGCCCTTTGGATGCCAACAATCCTCTTGGATAGGACTTGGATTTTTTTTAGGGGATTTGGGAATTGGGTTTTTTCCCAGTTTTGAATGGAATGTGAGAGGAGTTGGAGTTTGGAAGAGAGGGGGGTTTGGTTTGTAGGCCATGATTGGTGAATAAGAGAGGTGAAAGAAGGATCAAGATACCACATTGGTTCAAGCTTAAATCTTTTGAGGGTTTGTTGCCGGTTATATTGGCATTACTCGTCATCCTTTTGGAATTCAGCCCAACTTATCACCGTACTCACTATAGGTCTATAGGAGATAATGTAGGATTTTCTGGTAGAAATTTAGCAACGACAATATATTTCCTCACCAGTGTTCTTAGCTTTTTTTTTTTTTTTGAAACACCAGTGCTCTTAGCTCAAAGAACCTCACATAGCAATTCAATGGATAAAATGTACTTTTTATCATGGTCATCTACAAAGAACTTATTAGATAAGGTGTTAAACTAGAGTGTTTACTTTGGTTTGGTGATCAGATTAATTGTAGTCCATGAAATTGATTGTTTTAATCTTAGTTATATTAGATGATAAGATTAAATCTGACCGATTCCCGCACTATGAAGGGTTGATCAATGGGATTTTGTTGTTGATGAGAGTGTTTCCTTGAAATTGTAGACAAATTTTCACAAGAGGTAACAATCTACTAATTTTGTGATTAATAATGCAGGAAGATTGCTAGATTTTTGGCTGATTATCCATTTCCAATAGTATTCTTAATACACTCACCAGCATATTATAATTCCGCATCACACTAATCTATAAAAACACATGCTTGATGCTTCTGGGGAAACAAACTGAACAATTAGATCCCCGAGCAACAATAACACTTGGAGGACCAAGGTTCAAAACTACAAAAATGAGAAACTTGCATAAAATGACTCATCACAACTACTACTCTAACGCGAGTAGGCATGAACTAAAAACCTTCACTTAAACTCGGGCTTCTCTGGGTATGTGCAGCCTGACCTTTGGATGATAACAGTTGCAGCATAATTACCAGCCCTAACACAGTCCTCAATAGCTTTCCCCTGAAGCAACTGAGACAAAAATCCTCCAACAAAAGCATCACCTGTACGAGAAAGTGAGTGAGTGAAATTCATGACGATGAATAAGCAGAGGTAACAATAAGCCGAATCTATCCAGCATACAAGTTATGAGAGCATACCTGCTCCGTTAGTATCAACCAATTTTTCTTTAGGCAACACTGGTACAGGGAATGTCGTCACTATGCCATCCTCAGCAATAACAACAGGATCAGCACCCTGAGTAATCACAGTGATTCTCTTGTGTGTTCCTGATGCCTTGGGCCACCGGGAGATCTTAATGGCAATCTCTTCTACATTGTCAGTCTGTAACAAAAGCACTAATCAGATATATGAATTTAAACTGAAGCCGAATATATTATTTCACTAAAAAAATTAAAAAATTAAAAATTGAAAAAAAAAAAAAAAAACACACACACACACACACTTACCTCCCAACCGTGAGCTTTTGAGAAGGCTCTTGCTTCTGTTTCATTGCCAAAAACATAATCCATGTATCTGAAGCACATGAAACAAATTCTATCAATACTCTGCTTATACCTCCTAGGTAAATTCTTCAATCAAACGGGAAGATTAAAACTTACGGCAAAGCCTTCTCCTGAGGGTCCTTAAAGAATTCACAGATAAATGGAGCAGAGAGGTTCATCATGAAAATCTGCACATAAAGCACAAGTGTATAACAGTCCCCTGTCAGACTCAAAAGCCATTCAAAACAAGTAGAAAAATTAATGTGAAGCCAAAATTACTTTGTCATTTGCAGCAGCATGTTCAGCCACAAGTTGAATGGATTCCGGAGATACAGTTAGAAAAAACCCAGCAATGTAGTAGAACTTGGCTTTCTCAACTATCAAATTTAATCATACATGCAAGTTAGTTCAACTTTCAAATCATCGAAAATTGAAGAGGGACTTTGATATTTCAGGAAAAGTAGAAAGCTTATATACCCAATGCCCAGTTTTCAGGTTTCTTCAAATGGTCAACCTTGTAGCAGTTGGCAGCAGATAAATTAGCAACTAATGACCTGAACAGAAACCATGGATCATCAGCCCTTTCAATCAAGCACCAGGTTGGCATAACTTGATAAAACAAATTCGAAGCACATCAAAGCAAGAATTAATGTAGTTCTACAGCATGGCGCCTAACTCATTGACAAAAATCTCATAATCAGCTTCAATGGTCTTTATGTTACACAGCAATCTATATCAGCTTAATAGCTTATGCTCCTTTGCGTAGATTAATCTTAGCATTGCATTCTGGTTTAAGAAGCCAACTTTTAACATGATGTATTTAAAATCCATTAATAACGATACACGGCCAATGCTCCAAGTCAATTATGGGTATGACATGATATCGTAACCATATTTTAATTTGTGTATACCTATTTCTAGAAATGGAGCAAATGGAACAATTGCTAAGTGCACTAAATTAGATAAAGATATCCTTTATCACAGCTTCAACTGATCATAAAAAATAGAAACATAGTAAGTAATTTTTATGTACATGTACTTCACACTACAGTATTCTAGCCCATTAAAAGTCCTACAACTATACAACTCCAGTCTAGAATTAGCAAGTAAACTATATTACTAGAACATGCAATGAATTGAAAGTCTAATCAGTGGCAAAACAAAATAAATCTCTTGGCAAACACACAGGTCGTACAATAACCATGAATTCCGGTAATCTTCAAGATGGTTGAGTGCAACTTCCAAAGCTAGATCATCCAATCAAGGAGATGACATAGATGGCTCAAAAACATATTTTGAATTAGATGCACCAAATAAACCACAACGGCCGACATAAGTGACTCGTTTCTTAGCAAGCAAAAAAAATTTAAAAACCCTAGAAGAGCCAAAGGTTACCTTGTGATGTTACAATCTTATCCATATTACTCAAGAATAAAAAGTTCAACTCTAGGAACATTGAAGGGCTTATTGGATAAGTGTTAGGGAAGGACATACTATTGTTTGTAAGCATTATGGACATCCACATGAGGAATCCCATGCACATTTAAACAAGAAACCACAACTATTTCCTCAATCTACAAGTTCATACCATAACACGCATTGCGGTTTAATTAACCCTCACCCTAAGATGGTCCAAATGAAAACTATCTAAACTGAGTTTTTCCAATAAAAGAATTCCAACCAACAACTTTGAACTACCTCCATTTATTTATATCCTGATCGGTTAGTATAAGTATGTAACTTAAGAAAATTTTGTAAATGTTAGTGGGCATAAGATAAAGTAGGATAAATTAAAAAAGAAAGTGTTAAAGGAAGGGGTGAGCGTAAGACAAAGATGCATATAAGTAAGAAAGTGCGGAAGTGTAATTATTTTGAGGATAATATACGTAACTGGTAAAGGGGTAACCCTAAAATTGTTAAAAGCTAACTGGGTGGAAGATATAAGATTGGACAAAAATAATAAGAGAGAAGATTTAAAAAGAAACACATTTGATATTAGGAACACTCGGAGGCTCATTGGTGGTTGTCAGCAGATATTCAGCCCTATTTCCAACCTATCATTAAGTTTGAAGTGGTTTAAGCTTCTTTCCTCACTTTTATTTCAGTCACTGTCATTGTTTTTCTAATTAAGCTTGTAATTTTCATTTTTTTGCAGTGATTGAGGTTATTTAGTGTCTTCTAGCCTTGTTACAAGGAAAGGCAGAGGACTGGAGAAGAGTAGTATGAAAATGATGGACTTGATAAAGTTAGTTCTTATATGAAGACATTCTTTCAAATTGAAAGATTTACTCATGCTTATACCAATGTATAAAAAGCTCAAGGCGCACCGAAGCGAGAGGGTTTTGCTTCAGTGTGGCGCAGTATATGGGCAGTTAAAATTTTTTGGCTGAAGTTTGCTTCAAATGCGCCTAACGTGTGCCTTGGGTGCTTTTAGTGCACCTAACCCAAAATGCCTCACCCAGACCAAATTAAGCGCTCACCCCTGATTGCCTTGCGCCTCAGCGCCTTAGGCGCGCTTTTTCAAACACTGGCTTATGCTAAGTACAATAGAGTAATGAAGTGTATCTGCATTGCCATAGCTAGTATGCGATTCAATGTAGGATTGGGGATTTGAAGCTTTATAATCCTACTTTAAAGGAGCTAACTATTTACCTTCAATTGAATTTGGCTGCTTTGCATTAAAATTACACACATAAAATTACACAAGTTCAAACAGGTCATTGATTCTTTGTTTGATTTTGGGGTTAGTGGTAGAATTGTGAAGGCTCGTTTTAGAAGAAGGATCACTTAAACTTAATTGGGGGATTTGAAAGAAGATTAATTGGGGGACTTGAGTAATTGGGGCATTTGATCCTTCAGCAAAGAGAGCAAATTTGGAAAGGTGTAAGGTTATGGGAATTGTAATTGAAAAAAAAATGTGCTTGTTCATTTGGAAATATCCAAGCCAAGGTCCCCAAAAGTTAGCTTATCTCCAACAACTAAAGCAATCTTTGTGAACAAAAGAAATCCATGCTAACTCTAGGGTAGGTTTTAAAAATCTTAAACAGCGAAAGTAGTTACAATATTTTCACCCCCATTCAATGAATTCTTTGAAGGTCTGTATCTTTACAACAAAAACATATATCCTCCAAGGCTACCCAAGGTTTGTTTAGGTATAAAGAGGAAATGCGATATCTCCCCCTTTTTAGATCTTTTCAATCTTCAAGGACTAGTATGGGTAGTTACATGCGCACTAGAGCTACTTCATGTCTTTGTTGTCATTGAACTTTAATTAAGGTACCCAAACAAGCATTAATTGTTGGTAAAGGACATGTTACCTATAAACAAGCAATTATTGATGGTTAAGGGACATGTTATATAGTCCAGAGTGACATATACGGAAAATAGGAAAGCATGAAGAATGAAGAGGGATATACTATTCCACTAAGTTTTTTTTAAAAAAATGGTTTGATTAAAGCAAGCACGGAAGCGATGCATTCAAAATTTCAATAATAAATGGAGAATGCAAAAGAGCACCTAAGCAACCCATTGTAGGCAATCATAAGAAAATAAGCACTTCAGCAATCAGGATCACAAAAAAGTCACAAAGGGTAAGTGGATAACCAGAGATCAAGACTAACCTTTCACCACCAACAAT